GGACCATGAGCATCTGCAAGTTATAATAAAAGAATGACTTTGTTGATGACTGACAACCAAAGGGGAACAATGCAGCAGTGAATCAAATCAAGTCAGGTACCAATAACCACACTGTACATTGTACACTGCATTTCATAATGTTTCATAGTTGCTGCTGGTTTACTGGGGAAGGAGGGCTCCCTAAGTAGGTTAACTAATGAGAAGGGAGCTCTATAGCCTGACAGAGACTAGGCCGGTTTTGAATTCAGAGTTTTTCCTTCTCCTAGACCGTTTGCCACCCAAGGCTATAGAAGCTAGTCTTTCCTGCTATTTACCTATAGACAGTGGAAGAAGAAAAGGATTCATACCTTTCCCAATGGTATTAGTACATGTGAATGTAATGGATTTGACTAGACTTCAAACTTGGCTCTCAGATTCCTCAGTTCAAGCTGCTATCCATTACTCCACCGTACCTTGTACTGTCACATGTTGAAACCCTGGCTCCCATAGGATCACCTAATTTAAGTAATGTGGAGCCTGGTCAGTACCTAGATGGGTGACTGTTTAGGAATACCAAGTACTCTAAGCTTGGATGTGTGAATGGGTGCAATGGATAATAGTTCAGAACTTTTTAATTGAAAAGTTAAGTTCCAATTCCTATTGGGATCATTATAATGCAAATAATGTTGGGTAATCCAGCCCTTCTCCCCCAAGCTATATGTTAATTAGTAAGACTTGTTTTACTAAATCATTATTATCTCTAAAAAAAAAAACCAAATTTCTTACAATTTAAGAATATTTTCTGGCTTGAAATAACTTCTTGATAAGATATAGAAAATGACATTATTTACATTATTCGGACTATTGTCCTCATTGGCCGTTGTACACTCCAGCCTTCTTCAGGTGGTTGGAATGTCGAACTGAACCCTTTATTTCACTCACTGGGGTAGACTGTTCTAGTTCCATGTTTAATGGATGTCAGTTATCAGTTATCTCCTGTTAATTTCCCTCTGGAAGTTCTCCACTACCTTAACTGGGTATTGAACTCACACTCTTTGGATCCTGTCACTGGATCTAACCAATGCTTTTATCCACTGTGCCATGGCAACAAAGATGAGAACAATAGTCCGAATAATGTACATAATACCTCATCTCAGAAATATAGACAGACACTATAGAAAATGAATCAAGCAATCAATAGTTATTGCTATTATAGCATTGGTGACTATAGCTTACTTTGACCAGAGAAAATTGTTATTGAGTTGTGGAAGATTGGTGCCATGTTGCTTTGAATCGGCTGAGTGAGTATGTGGAGGAGACTGTATGAATCTCCAAAACCAATAAATATGGTGTTGTATAATGGTGTGCTTGCAAGAATAATTTGTGAAACTAGAATTTGTCTTGACAAGCAAGGCATATACAGACCTTGTTCTACTCTATTTGCACCCCTTGATGTTCATCATGTTTCCCAAGGGAGATGATTTATTCCAGTAAAACAACACAAACTCCATTGTGCATGGGGGGGGGGGGGGGTTAGACGCAAAAGTAATTCGAGGAATATTCAACTGATTTCCAGGTATTTTATTGGCCTCCATGCATAGGATATGTTGTAGATCTCACTAAATTCCTGGCAGCCATACGCCAAAAAATAACCCTGGAAATACCATGAAAAATCACTAGACACTATTATTCAGTGAAAAGGGTGAGTTACATGTTGTTAGGTAGCAGTTTGTAATCTTTTAGTACTTCAAATTAATCATTTCACCCCAAACAAAATGATAAGAGCCACTAAAGTGCAAGATTTTACTGAGAGCAAAAGAAAAATAGAGGAGATGGTGAAAGAACAGGATTCATAGAAACATAAAATAGCAATTGACATTGCATTTAAATTTTTGAAGATTATAGTTGACAGGAAAGCAGGATACCAGAAGAGAGTTTGAGAAGTGCAAGAGAAGAAACTGTTAGCACAGAACCTATGGTTATAAGTAGCAGTTTCCACAGTGAAATTATGAGACATACCTGCCAATCTAGCACTGCACTTCATGAAGTTACTAAAGAGGAAAGGTCATCAGAAAAATTACCATGAAAATATTTACACTAAAGGCACAGGGAATCTATGCTATGGCAATGTGAAAGTGACTGAAGCAAAAATGCCAGGTCAGTACTGATAACATTGCAGATTTCTCTTTGCATTTTGACAAGAATATCTAGATATATAGCAGAGACACCATCCAGATAAGGCAACAAGATTCAATGTACCAATGAATGGTTTGGTTTGGTTTGGTTTGTGTTTTATGGAATATCAACCTCAATGGATTATTTAATGCTGACAACATTTTTTCCTGGTAATATTTTGTTTTATCAAAAATCTATTTCTGGTAATATTTTTTTAAAGAATGTATTGCTGGGTATATTTTTTTCTTCAAAAATTTATTTCTGGTAATAATTTTTTTTACAAAGTATTTCTGGTATTAAAACCTATTTTTACACTTTTATAATGCTTTTTATCTCAGCTTTGGGGTTAACTATTTACCCATAGATGGGACCCTAACAGGTGCTACCACCCCGGGTCAGGGTGCACATGGGAACACCAGCAATTAAGAGGTGGTTCCATGCTTGTCAGAGGCCTTGCTGTTGGACATAATTTATCGTCTTACCCTGGACGCAGATGTAGTTTATCATCGTACATTATATGATAATCTAAATATTTGTGTCATGATAATTTTTTTTTAATTTCAATGTGTAACATGCTAATTGGGTGCTCAAACTTATTCAAAGAAATCAAACACTGCAAGATTAAATTATCACATTTGATTGCAGTATATTAAGCAGTATATTAATTGGACATGGTTAAATATAATTGGCAGAAATGTCCAACAAACAGAATTTACAAAGAAAATTTAAAAAGAAAAGAACAGAGTGAAAATAATACTCAGCAGACAATATATGTAATTTCTTGGTGGGGGGTCAAGGAGAAATAAATGATGATTAAATATCAACTCAAATTATTTTATAAAGTGTTAACACTTATCTATGATGTATTAAAATAAGGAAGAAAGGGATTGTCTGGGATTAGGCATCTCTCATAGTATTGGACAATTATATGCATACAGTAAATGCATTGTTAACAAATTTACAATAGAAATGCATTGTAAATGTAGAGTAATTGGCCATGATTAAATGTAATTGGCAGAAACTCCCAACAAACAAAATTGACAAAGTTTGCAATAAACAATAACAAAAAAACAGTAAAAATAACACACAACAGACAATATATGTAAGACAAAAGTAGGCAAAGCAATGAGGCAAAAATGTCCAAAAACTAAGAATAGTTTTAGCACACAAAAAGCATATGGACATGTGATTGCAGCATTCTGAATTCAAAAAAAGAAAGAACAAAAATATGGCAGACATGACAAAATGTATTCTATCTTATTGGCTAGAAAGAATTTGCAGCATGCATTTGTACAATTTGTCTATAAATTTCAGGAGTAGGGGATGTTTTTGTCATTCATATACAGGATTAGAACTAGCAATCACTAATATTACTTATGCAAACCTTCTTACATTAAGACTATTATGGAACATGAGTGGGCTATTACAAATTCTTTTGTGAGAGAGATTTCCTATATCCTTTGTGTTCTGGGTAAGATGATAAACTACATCTGTGTCCTCTGATCAGGAGGCTTTGAGGAACATGGAACCACTGCTTAACTGTTGGTGCTTCCAGATCCACCCTGACCCAATGTCATAGCACCTGTTAGGGTCTCAGCTACAGGAAAATAGATAACCCCTAAACTGGAGTCAAAAGCAATACATTTTGAAAAAAATATTACCAGCAATAAAAATCTTGACAGCATTAAATAACCCATTGAGGTTGATATGCCATAAAACAAACCAAACCAAAACTTATATCCTTTCTATGATGTAGACCTGTCTCTGAAGTCTTCTAGCAAAAAACAGATTAAATATTAAATGATTAATGTTTTTAATTGTTAATATTCTATTGGAAATTCTTCAAAGACATTCTCTTCTTTCCAAAACATTTTTTGTTTTTATTTGTTTCAGAAATCCTACTTGTGATATCAAGGATTACAGTACAAAGAGCATAGTTGGAACACGTTCAATCAAATCTAGAGTCTTATTTTTCATGTTCCTTGCTTCCTTAGTCCTTATTAATTATGATGATGTTCTCTCAAATATTCAGTGGCCATCTACAATTTTTTGTCAACTTGGTGTGTTTGTTAAGATTGGAAAATAATGAATGCAAATACTTGTATGTCTTGGTGATAATTATATATGTTTTGTCGAAAGTTTCGTGGTGAACTACATATTGAATCAGAGTATCTGCCCGGATTCCTGGTTGTTAAGCGTTGGAATTAGTTATGCTTTTTTGTCTGACAAACTTTCATATAACAATATTAAGTGAGGAGAAAGTGGGGGGTAAAAAGGTGTGAAGATAGAGAAAAGCAAAAAGAAAACCAGGTGAAAGGAAAAAATATATCGAGTGAGAAAAACAAAGGAAAGGAATGAAGATGAAAGAAAGACATTGGGATGAAAGTTAGTTGATTGGATGTCAAGATATGATAAAAGATGGAGAAGTGGAAAAAATTGCAACATATTAAAAAATTCTGTATGAAGTAATAGAGAAAAAAAAAGGGGGGGTGCTGTAGCAGAAAATATTTCTGTATCACTTATTCACATATAAAACACAGCTATGCATGACGTTCAGATAAAAAAAAAACATGAAGAGACTACAAAGATTGATAGGGATAAGGGAGAAAATGAGAAGATACACTGGTCCAGCTAGTTTCTGCTTGTAAATACAGAGTTGTTATTATAGATAGTGGGAAGATCAGCATTTAGATAATAATATATTATACATAATCTCAGAAGTGAATATAGGAAAAAAAAAAAAAGCAATAACTTCAGTTTCTATCAAACAATCTATTATTTCCCCCATAACTGTATTGAAATCATTCCAGAAGATTTAATATTCTTAATTTATTTTCCTTTTCCAGAGTCCCTGAAAGCAGTTTGTCACTGTTTCATGGCTGCCCAGAGTATAGTGCCCTTGGATTTTGAAATTATTGAGAAACCAAAGCTTGATCGGTGAGAAAGATTGTTCTTTTATAATGTTTCTATGCATCAATTTTAAACTTGCTTTTTACAAAGAAAATCTTTGTTTTAAAAGTTTATATATATATATGTGTGTATGTATGTATGAACACACAATCCATCTCACATTATAAGTCACTTTTTGTATTATTGATATGTAAAAGAAATAATGAAATCTTAAGATTTAACCTGTTCATTCTTTGCAGAATTTGTAGGAAATATTCTAATTTTCAATATGTCACCTTAATATTGACAGTTTGAAGCTTGAAAATTGGTCATGGGACTGACTTGCTGTATAAAGAAAAATATTTAAAAATTTCAGAGCTCAGAAATGATTAACTGTAAATTGGAAATAAAAATCAGCAATTATAACTGAGCTGTGAGGAAATTTGTTAAAGATCTTAGATAATTCTAATGCATCTCTGATAAGATTGAAAACATCATCCATGACATTTAATGAAGATATGAATAAAATGCATTTTAAACACTTGTGATGATAGAGAAATAGACATTTAATAAAAATCACAGGCAAACAATGCCATAGTTCAACCAACCAATCAAACAGAAAGCTTTCACAACTAGGATGTAAAAAAAAAAAGAAACATACAAATAATAACAAGGAGACAAAATTTCACCATCTCTAACGATAGACTGCAAGCTCATGAGAAATGAACAGCCTTTTCAAAGTGAATCTATAAATGTCTCTATAAAGAGATGGAAAAATCAGAAATATGACATTTGCACAATTAGCTGGCAACCTTACACAGCTAACCCATCCTTGCTACATTGAAAACTTTCTTCATCATGTGGTCTATTTCATTTGGATACATCTATCTCTCAATTTGAACTTATTTATCAACATGCTGGATATTATCTTTTAATCATTACACAAGGCCAAAATACATCCACATCAATTATACCAACATATGCTGAAAATAAACTAATTTATAACTGATAACTCTTAACTTCCACACACTTGTATGAAGTGGGTGGTTTGTTTACCGGAATCTTTTGAAGAGTGAAGTGGGTGGTTTGTTTACCGGAATCTTTTGAAGAGTGAAGTGGGTGGTTTGTTTACCGGAATCTTTTGAAGAGTGAAGTGGGTGGTTTGTTTACCGGAATCTTTTGAAGAGTGAAGTGGGTGGTTTGTTTACCGGAATCTTTTGAAGAGTGAAGTGGGTGGTTTGTTTGTTTTTGAAGAGTGAAGTGGGTGGTTTGTTTACCGGAATCTTTTTGAAGAGTGAAGTGGGTGGTTTGTTTACCGGAATCTTTTGAAGAGTGAAGTGGGGGTTTGTTTACCTTTTGAAGAATCTTGTTTGAAGAAGTGAAGTGGGTGGTTTGTTTACCGGAATCTTTTGAAGAGTGAAGTGGGTGGTTTGTTTACCGGAATCTTTTGAAGAGTGAAGTGGGTGGTTTGTTTACCGGAATCTTTTGAAGAGTGAAGTGGGGGTTTGTTTACCGAATCTTTTGAAGAGTGAAGTGGGGGTTTGTTTACCGGAATCTTTTGAAGAGTGAAGTGGGTGGTTTGTTTACCGGAATCTTTTGAAGAGTGAAGTGGGTGGTTTGTTTACCGGAATCTTTTGAAGAGTGAAGTGGGTGGTTTGTTTACCGGAATCTTTTGAAGAGTGGATTGGGTGGTTTGTTTACCGGAATCTTTTGAAGAGTGGATTGGGTGGTTTGTTTACCGAATCTTTTGAAGAGTGAAGTGGGGGGTTTGTTTACCGGAATCTTTTGAAGAGTGAAGTGGGTGGTTTGTTTACCGGAATCTTCTGAAGAGTGAAGTGGGTGGTTTGTTTACCGGAATCTTCTGAAGAGTGAAGTGGGTGGTTTGTTTACCGGAATCTTTTGAAGAGAAATGTTTAAATTGAAGATGAAATTTGAATGTTGTGCACTGTTGTATTTGTTTATATGTTAATGGTTGATGAATTTTTATGTCCAAAATATTTGTTTTCCACAATTATAACTTTTAATTGCAATATTTCTTGGCATTTCATTAACCTGGCTTATGGAAAATCTGGTAAAATTCATAAAACTTTTACCACATTGTATCTAATATAGACATGTCTACTATAATTTATACATATTAATAGGGCAAATATCACAACAAAGCTCTTTATTAATTTCGTAAAAATCAGGAAGAAATTAAAAGTAGTTAAAACTATAAGATATGAAATATACATACTGCGATGGGTAAATTGTCGTCATTTTTAATTTTGTGCTTGCACATTGCTTTTCCTTTTGTTGACTGTATTGCAGGGTCAGTTGGGTACTGTCTGTGAGAAAAAGAGCATTATGAAGCAATAAACTTCACCAAAAATTTGGAAATGTCATGCTATAGTGCTTGGCATTTATGCTGAAAACTCCAATACGAACATTTCAGAGTGTTTAGGTGTCAAACTAATAAGAGTCTAATGGTGATTACGAAGGTGTTTGGAGTGATCACTAGTGATAGTGATGTTATGCCTCCATTCATTTTCCCCACAAGGCCTCAGACTCAATATGAAGGCCTACATCAAGTGCCTTGAGCAGGTAGTGCAGGCATGGGTGAAGAAGGTGGCTGCTGGAAGACCCTATGTCTGGCCATAGGACTCTGCACCATGCCACACAATCAGAAGAACCCAGTCATGGCTGTCAGACAATTTCTGTGACCACATCCCCTACTTTGTTATTATGTGTGGGCCACAGATGAGTGAGAGATCAACAAAACTCTTTGTAATACCAAAGATGAACTGAAGGAAAGGGTTATGGTAGCATTCAACAAGGAGACCGTCCAGAAGGGATGTAGGAGATTCTGAAGTTATCTGGAGGCCATGGTTGAAATCAACAGTGATGTTATTGAATAAATTTACTCTTTAGTATTTCAAGATATTTTTGTGTAATTTTGGTAAATATATCTGTTAAAATGAGATGTCAGCATTATTTTCATTTTAGCGTAACTTAGATGACAATTTATCCATCGCACCCTGTAGACGTGTCAAATGTGTAGAAGTATGAATTGAAAACAAAATAGCATGTACATTTCATGGCTCTAGGTCACGTAGGGCTGAGAAAATTTCAGCACTTCCTTTGTATATTGTTATTTACAAATCTTTCCTTAGTATGGTACAAGGTTACAAGTGTTGTCACTGAAGAGTGATTTGCTCCAATAGTAATGACTAGCAATACCAACAGGATATCCATGGGATGGTACCAAGAACAGTGCATGTACAAGGGACTGCTGATATGTTTATAGCTTGAGTTACTTAACAAAATCACTATTCTGTTTTTTAGTCATTAAAATACTTGTGCTAGTTGAACCAAGAATTTTTAGTACACCATATATTTTTTTTAATCATTTCACCTGAAGCAAAGCAATAATGCCACTAAGACACAGATGTTACAGAGAATGAAAGAAAATGAAAATACATTAGTGAGTAGAAAGGGCAGTAAAAGAACAGTATCAAAAAAGACAGAAGATGGCAATTGATGGTGCATTTAAAGTCTGGTAGCCAATAAATGCTAATGGACCTCTGTTTTTCTTTGGTTTGATTCAGTGTGGGAAAATTGCTTGGTAAGTCATGTAGAGCGTGGAACCACTTCTTAATTGCTGGTGTTCCCAGGTCCACCCAGACCCAGGGTGGTATCACTTGTTAGAGTTCTCGCTATGGACAAATAGTTAACCCATAAACTGGGATCAAAACACTATGAAAATGTTAAAATAGGTTTTAATACCAGAAATACTTTGTAAAAAATTATTACCAGCAATACATTTTTGAATGAAAAATATTACCAGAAATATATTTTTGAAAAGGAAAAAAAAAATATTACCAGCAATAAAAATTTTGTCGGCATTAAGTAACCCATTGAAGTTGATATGCTGTAAATCAAACCAAGTGGCGATAGTTTGAATTCATGGTAGATAAGGGTTCTTTTCAAGGTGTCCCTCTTCAGTGAGGCCTCATCTTTCCATCAACCAGTTGGGTCTTTTGTTACATAAATTAAGCACTCTTGGCACTCGTCAAGTCTAAAATTTAAATATTAACAAAGAGATTGTACCTCTAAAACTACAGTGGAACAAAGACAATGCTACTAGAAATGTTTGAGTAGATTTGGGTGGAGTGAGTATAAAACCCTGCATTTGACATCTATTGTTAGAGTGAGCAGGATAATAGCTTTTGTAGATTGGTTGAGGATATAAACTTCAAAAAGTCTTGAATAGACTTATCCATCCTGATATTAGAGAATATGATGTTGCCTCAGTATGCGATGAACCAATTCCAACATTGGTGTATTTAGTGATGGTTTTGATTTGGTGCAGTAGAATGAGGCTTTTTTTTTGTTGTTGTTTTTTAAAGGCTGGACTTTATGCCAATGAAATCTGTGCATTTTGCAAAGCCAAGTTTTTTTTTACTTCTACAGAGGCAACCATTTTGAAAAATGAAATGTTGAACAGCTTCCAAAAATACAAATTTGGCAAACATCAGAAATCTTTTGTAATCTCTAGAGAAGCTTTGAAAACCAGTATATCAGATCATGTATAGCAAGAAAAGGGAACAAAACATGTTGGTAGAACAAAAGTCAGAATAATAGAGAAGCAAATCAACATAATATCAAAGAATTGAAATATTTCTGCCATTCTTTAAGACATTGAATGCAATAGATATATGAATAAGAAAAATATCCCTTTGAACTACAAAGTTCTTACAAGGTAAGATAGTCATAGAGAGAGTAGAAGGGTCAATGACTGAAATACTCTGGTTAAAAGCAATCAGTAATGAAGTATAAACCTGATGAGATACCCAGGATTAGCAAGTAATAGTTCACACCATTCAATTGAATCTGGCATTGCAAAGTTCAATTAAATTGTTTAAGAAGAAAAATAATATACTAGCTGTATGGAAAAATCTCTAGGATATTTAAAGAAGAAAAAATGTAAAAGAATTTGATAAAGTACTTCATAAAGAACTGTTGGAACTTCTAAGTAACCTTGATATAGTTTGGTTTCTTTTGTTTTATTGTATATCAACCTCAAAGGGTTATTTAATGCCAACAGTTATATATATATATATATATAATTATAAATTAACTGATTTAAAAATATGGTCCCATCGCTACACAGGAATTACCATGTTTCTAAACAAACTAAAAACTTAAAATTCAGTTACAGAATTAAATTAAAGTCCCTAGTCCTGTTTCATTTTCAAAATGAAACAGTACTAGGGACTTTAATTTTAACCATATTTTTAAATTTATAATATTTATGCTCTGTAGATTTGCATTGAGCACTGTTTTGTAAAATAAAAATATTAATAAGAACACCGGATTACTGTTCTTTCTCTTATATATATATATATATATATATATATATATATATATATAAAAAAAAAATAAGAATTCATTAGATCTGCTAATGTCATTTTTCAGAATCAAAAGAATCCTTTTTGGGTTTTTTCATCATTTTATATTCATAATATATATCAGTGTCAAATCGATCTCTGATTTCTTAGAGTTATCTGTACTTAGTTTTTATCTATGAATGTCAAATTTGAAACTGTGCTTACGTTAGTGATAACTGTATACTACTGATGTCCTTTTTCTCAATTCCTAGCAGTATACATGTTGCTGAGTGGTTCAGATTTGAATCTCAGGATGGTCAAATTATCAGGAAGGTGACCTCTTGATGTTATCAGTCTGGGGGAGGTGATTCAAGCATGTGTCACCTCTGAAAAGTGACTGAAAGCTACATCATGGGTTGACCCAAGCCTTGTGAGTGAAAATGGGTAGACAGAACACTTTGGGGACCTGTTGATGATGGTGCTAGTGCAAAGTCACAAGTCTTTGTGATTGAGGATTTTAGTTTGCTAGTGTTGTTCAGACTGTTGATAATGCATGCTCCCCCCCAGAAACTGTAACTAAGGTCCTCTCAGTGTAGTTGTAGTATAAACCAATGATGGGCACTGTAGGTGTTGAACAAACCTAAATGTGCCTGAGCAGGTGTCTGCAACAGGGATTGTCTAGCCACCCTAGTAGACAGGCCTCCTTGGATACGAGTGACCAGCCATTATTATAGTAAGCATGTTTTCAAACTTGATATTTGTAAATAAAAGTAAAATATGTATAAATCTTTGAGAAACCAGTGATTGACTTGACACTGTATTTAAACAAGATTCCCATTTTAGAATTATAAAAAAAATATCAATATTTTTTTTTTATCCTGACTATATCACATCTTGGTAAGGTCAAATGAGTGCTAATCAACAAAAAAAAAATTGTTCCCTCTAAAATTCTTCTTTACCTTTTTTTATGAGTGGACTAATTAACTTAAGTAGTGCCTTTTTTCACTAGAGTAAAAGGCTTTCTTTAAGTCCTTTCCTGATGAAGATGTGTATGTACATTTTTACCAAAAATGTCTTTTTCAATTCTGAATGAATAAACACATCCAAAACATAACATCCCAAAACCAGCTCCAGAAATGTTTATACATCAACTTTGATTCTTTGTATGCCCTTGTGAGCTTGAAATGAAGCCAATTGTCAACTCATATGTATGTTAGAGGCATTAGCCCCGCAAAACCCTCCTGCCCCCCAATCAGGTACTTCAAGGTGTTTCAGTTTCTTAGTTACTGTTTTAAAAACAATTATCTGAAAATGAAACACTTTTCGCAAATTAATTGGTAGCAAAGGGATTAAGAGCATTTTGCAGAACGTGTGTGTGTGTAAAGAACAGGTAATGAATGGTGAAACATTGGTTCTCATCTGATCACTGAAGTTAAGCAACATGGAACCTGGTCAGTACCTAGATGAGTGACCCCAAGGAATAACAAGTGCTGTAAGCTTAAATGTGATGATAAAGAGTTTGAATTCTAGTCAGGTTTATTATATTTACTTATGTGCAAAGGCTCTTAGGAAAGTTATGAATCCTCCTCTTCTCCCAGAAGCTATGGGTTAAATAGTAAGGCTTGTATCATTAAATCATTATTATCACCAAAAATTTCTTACCATACCAAAAGTATGTTTTGGCTTTAAATAACCTTAAGATAGTTGGTAAACTGTAAAAAAAAAAACAAATCAGTCAATGAATAAAAATGAGAGCTAAAAGAAGAGATGGAGCAAAAATCTGAAATTTGCTCATCAAAAAAAAAAAAAAAAAAAAAAAATATTGTGATTTTTGTAGGTACCAATATTCAGATAACTTAAAATGATTATTTAGTTACTTATTTTAGCAGATTATTTTACTTATAATTATTGCCCTGTGATACAAACAATAGTCTGATTTATTTAAACAAAATAGTATTAAACAATCAACAGTGCTTTTTTTTTTTATAGCTGTCATTATATTATTGTCAACTGAGACTGCTATTTATATATAACTGTAAAAAGAAAGTAATCATTGTAAGTAACACAGTAATCAAAATGAGTACTGCCTAATTTGTTGTGGTTTTTAGATGTTGAGAGCTGCTTTTATATTGTCATTTATTCAAAGAAATATTTCCGTTTCTCAATTCTGACAGACATAATCTAACCAGATGATTTACTTGGATTTTAATTACTCTAAATTGTTCTCTGCTCTTTTTCTTTTGCAGAACCAAAACAAAACCTCATCCATCTGTGATTAATATCAGCAAACAACTACAGGAAACTTCTCTTGCTGCAATCACCCTCCCACGGAACATCTCAGAGTTAGATCTGAACGAAGAAAATACCAATGGACCTCAGAAAACTGAAACATCCGTCACTTCTGAAAGGCAAACTATATCTAGTCTATTTGACATTCACAGAAACCCATTCAGTTCAAAGAATGATGCTAATAAAGCAGATCTTCTGAACAAGATAAGTCTTCCTTTAAAAGGGACAACTTTGCAATTGCCAAAACTTAGCTTACAGAATCTCAATCCCATGAAAAACGTTAATCTAGGTGGTCTGCGATTGCCAACTGTGTTTTATTCTCCACTTGGAAACAAAGAGAGTGACAGTGATGGTGAGAGCAGCGTTTGTATTCAGACAGTTCCTGCTTTGAATACAGATGGGAAACATTTGGATGCAGTGCCTCCCCAGTTGTCAACAACAATGGCTGCTGCATCAACAGCCACCACATCATCAACAGAAGCCGAAACAACTGCCAGTGCAACACTTCTTGATATGACACAGGATCAGAACAGTGATGTAATGTTTCGGAGCTGTGGTATTCTAGCTACCAATCCGAAACAACTACTTGTATCCTCACTCAGCCTCTCATCGGATGTCGATCCTGATGAGTTTGGACCCGATGTAGCCAACATACTCGAGGAAGGTGAGTTATCGAACGAGGCATCTAACATGCCAAATGCCGATGTGGACAAGCTGAGAAGACAGTTCTCTCGGACCGAGTTACTTGAGCAAAAGCATGGGACCAGTGCCGACCACAAAAGTGATGAAGGCAGAAACGAGGATGAGGAATTTAGCATCAGTACCTCTGTGGATACTGGTGAAGTAGAAGAGGAGTGTGAAAATCCAGAAGGTCCACGTAGACCTCGCAAACCTTTACCCCTGAAACCATCTTTTAGTGATGGAGCTATCAGTTCACATCCTGAGATAAATCGACCAAAACCTTTGCTGATGTTAGAAAACAACCCGCTGACCAAACTGGGAATGAAGATACAGTCAGGGATGCGAGCAATTCCAAGTCCAGTTCGAGCCTCCAATAAGGAGACTGTGGAACTCCTCAAAGAACAAGTAATGGATAAGTTACAAGGAAGAGAATGCCAAACACGAATCATTTTCATCTAAGAACTTTTTGTTAAATAACTTTTTTTACAGACGTTATTTATCGATAGTTACACATAAGGCATGTGCTTTGAGTTTTGATAATAAATATTTCAAGTTGATTGGAAAGTAATATTGTTTTTTGAAAAGAATGTTCTTTTATTAAAAGTTTAAATTATTTGTCAAGAGCATAACCATTATTAGTGATGACAAGAGATCTTTAACATCTTAAAAAAAAAAAGAAGCTCTCTCTCTCTGCCAAGTCTTTGAGAGCAGATAGTTGAATAGGGTAAGTTTTTAGTTATGAGCTATCAGTATAAAACAAGTGAAATATAACAGATCTTTATTTACATTTGGACTATTGTCCTCATCTTTGTTGTTGTTGTTATCACAACATTATGACTGTTGTACCCTCTCGCATTCTTCATCAGGTGTATATCAATCTAGAGGGAATTCCAAACTGAAGTCTTTATTTTATTTATGGGGATAGACTCTTGTTCTACTGCCCAGAGAGCAGATCTTTATTTTCGGCATTGTGTGAAGGTTTGTGTGAAAATGACTTGATTTTGCCAAGACTTGGAAAAGATTAAATCTGTCAGAAGTCTCAGCTTCAGTATTCCTATTGAATGGAATTAATATCTTGAATTTTTCATTGGCAAAACCTTGAAAAGTCAGAAAGAGATCAATTCAAAATGATCAGAATTCTATTCATTTGGAATCCCAGATTCTTTCAACAAAGAATAAAAAAATTACTTTCAGAATGTTTTTTTTTTTTGCATTGCTAATAATGATGATGTTTACATGTCTGACAAATATATTTTAGTCAATTCTTATTCTGTCTTCAAAAACTACTGATGTTACTTTCCAAACAAATATTTTTAGCTTTTTGAAACCATTTATCTTTATTGGAAAATTTTTAAAGAAAATGTTGAAAAAAAAAATGTTGTCTGAAGTAATTTATATTTAATCTGATTATTATGTGTAACATTGAAATGTTTAAAACATTTAACAGTTTAACCTTTTGACTGTTAGTACCTCTGTCCAATAAAAGTTGTTACATTTGTATATTGTTCATTTGATTATTGGTAATGTGTATTTGGTGCAAATTCCAGTCTAGTCTTTTGCATTCATTTTCACACAAATGCTCTCTAGAAATGTATGAATCTTTCACTTTGCTCCTCAGATATGAGTTAAATAGGATTAAAATCCTTGTAAATGAAGAAAAACTCAGAATTCCAAACCTTGAAGGTGGCAATGAGATACTGGTCCACCATTTTTTCAAAAAGGTATGGCAATTCACAGATAACAGAAAAGAAATACGTGGAAAGTCATGATTGCCTATGTAGAAAAGAAACCTGACATTTTAAAAAATTGTCAATACATAAAGTCTGTTTCTATATTCTAGTGATAACTTCAATTTTTTTTATATTAAACGTGACTTGTATTTTAAAATATTACGAGGCATCTTTAAGTGAACTGTTCAATGATAAACATAAATTAAATTTTTTTTAAATTAAACCTGATCCGTTTATATATTCGAGCAATTGATAGTAACCATGGGTGGGAAATTTAAGAACCATTAAAGCAAAATCTGAAATCACAAATGATAATTAAAATTCTTGATTTGATACATAATTAGAGGAAAATCTACAAAAAATTGGAAAAAAAAAAAAAGAAATTTCATTTGTTGCAATTTATCTTTTAAGACATCATTGGACTAAAGTGATGTTTACATTGATGTGATTACACATGTGCATGAAGGAGAGGGGATGCTGAAATTTTAAACTAAAATGTTTTCAAATTTCACCATTCCCTCATCTTCCAGTGTATGTACAGTGTAACCCGGATATAAGAGAGTTGTCGGGACTGGAGAAGAAGTCTCTTATATCCGGGCTTGGTCTATTTTATATACATTAACACAGGCTCTAATTTGGGACCAGAGAAAATCTCTCTTATATCCGGGTTTCTCTTATATCCGGGTTACACTGTATAATCACATCAACGTAAACCTCACTTTCATCCCATAAACTCCTGCAGGAAAATTTTTTTTCCTTTTATTATAGATTTTCCTAAAATTGTTGATATATAAAAATTTATATATCATTTTTCTATTACAAAATTTGTACAAATGAAAAAACTGAGGAACAGTTACTTAATTGCAGCTTCAAAAGAATTTCTATTACATTTTTAAAATGCTTAAATTGTATTATTATTTAAATAATTAAATTGAACAATTCCAATCATGTAATGAGCTATTTAATTTCCATTGCATTTATCTTTTTTGCTCTTATTTACAAATCTACCAACTTTTTCAGAACAAATTTTACATACTAAATGTACCAATTATTATTTGACAGAGATAGTCAATTTTTTTAAAATCAGTGTTTCATATTTATAGTCAAATTATCTCTAAGATTTACATTTGTTTTTCTTTCATCAAACTCAAAATCTGTGAAGTTTGATTTTTTTTTTTTGTCTTTTTTCATTAGGCTTTCTTCCTTTGCCATTACACGACATGACGTACCTCATCTTTTAGTTTCCTTATATTTTTAAATTACAAAATAATATTGAAAAAAAAGATTTCCGTTACCGTAAAGTTTTAATATCAAAATAAAAAAAAAAAAAAAGCAGTTTATAGGTTTTTGTTAACTGCGTTTCGTATTTCGATATTATCTCTTTACAGTAATGTAAATGTTTTTTTGTTACCCATTTTATTTTTCTTCTTTTGACATGGCTGTTCTTATCACCTATTAAATTTTATACCCAACCAAAAATTTCTACATTGAAAATATATTGTGTTTTTTCTTTTTTCAACTAAAAGTGTCTTAAATCAATGTTTTGATTTTTTTTCTTTATATTATGGCATGATTTATTTTTGTTGGACCTTTGTCTTTGTCAACTGGATTTTTAAATTTTTTTTTTTTTTTCATAGAAATTATTCTATTTTCATGTTTGAAATTAAGGTTACAATTTTCTCCACACTTAAAAAAAAAAAAAAAAAAAAAAAAAAGAATGTGTTATTGTTTTCAGGGTTAAAATAGAAATTGTTTTTTCTTCAATCTTTTTCCATTTGTGTTTTTTTTTTTTTTCATGTTTGTGTTTTTTATGAGAATAAAACAAAACAAAAAATTGTTATCAATCCATTGATATAAAGCATAATGAAATAATTTTCTCTCTCTTTCTGCATGTCTCATAACAAAATGTGAAAAATAACAACGAAGAATGTTTGTATTGTCAATTAAAAACAAAATTGTTTCGGTTATATTGACTTTTCATGCTAACATTTCTAAAGTTGCTGATTTTAATTTCATGTCTTATATTTGAATTCTATCAATTTAGATTAATTTTTCAGTTAAACATCAAATATCTTACATGGATTTAATCTTATCTAAACTCCTAGAGACAAGAACTTTTTCAGAATTCGTAATTTGTTGATATTTACAATACAGATACAGGATGTCAGGAAGATGAGTTGATTGTTAGAAAAGAGTAAAGTCATTGCTTTGAACGTTAACACAATACATATTAGTTTTCTATTTTTGTATAGTAGTAAATTCAACGAGATAGAATTACAAGCAAACTGTCATTTGGATGTGTAGGTGGTGTAATGGATAATGACTTGTATTGTGAAAGTAGAGAGCAGAGTTCAAATTCTAGTCAAGTTTGTTACCTCCATTTATGCGCAAATACCCTTGAGAAAGATCTGAATCATTCTTCCCACAGCTATGGGTTAAATAATAAAGCAAAGTGGACTCTTCAACCTTGGTTAGCCACTAGCCTAGGAGAAAGACAACTCTTAATCGAAAAAACTACATGTAGCCCTGGCAAAGTGCATATTACGAAAAAGGTTGTGAAGTTCATAATGACTTTACAATGCCAACTGAGGTTGGTCTTGGTTGATTAGACAAAAAGTTCTTAAAACTGAACATTTCTTTCCTTGAAAAAATGTTTGGCATTTTAAGGTTTTAATTTTTCCAAATACCAGATTAAAGATTAATTTAATTCTAAGAAATTAATTAAACTATATTCTGGGCAGTGAATATAAATTTAATTAAATAAAAGTTTAAAACTGATGACATTTTCTGAGGTTTTATTTTTCTGTTTATAAACTAAATACAAAAAGAACTATCATTAATTTCTATTTTAAATTAGTTTTTTTAACCATTAGTAATTTTTGATTATTTTCTTTCAGGTTTTGTTTTTTGTTCCATGTTTAATAAACTCAAAATAAAAAAAACCCTTGGCCAGAATCACATCAGTTTGATCTAATTTCCCATATTTTAACTGAGCTACATTTTCCAGTAAATTTTTAAAATTTCTGTTTTGCCATTTTATAATTGTTTATTTAATACATGAAACATTGTCAGTTATTATTTTTTTGAAAATTGAAACAAAAGAAAATTAAGATATTGTACCTTGTGATGTGTAATAAGCTTAGCTTCGTCTATGTTGTGTTTGTAAACTTGTCTAGCAGACCAACTTATATCTGATATTCTACATGTATAGTCTTGTGCTAAACTAAGTTAAACTTGGTACATATTTGGACATGTTGTGAAGTAGTGTAGTTAAACTAATCTGACACACTATTACTAAGCTAGTGAGTTCAATTTTTACTGTGACCTGACCTGACCTGACTCAGCTATATTTTGTAAACAGCTTAGGTTGCTTCATTATGGAATTGTTATTCTTGTAAATCATTACTACTGTAGTGAGTTTTATTCTCATTGACGAACACTGTGCTTGTATCAGATTAAGCCCCTTGACATATTCCCAAAGACTTAGGACAGCAACTACACCAAGTGAAGCTGCTGTTGTTTCCATAGTGAACACAGTTTTCCAGGGTTGGAGCATGATCCTGGCACCCATATTGGACTTCCTTCCTGTTCTAAAGGGATCCAATTAACTTATTATTTATCCTTTTCCCTGTCAAACATGTTGGACTTCCTTCACGTTCTAAAGGGATCCAATTACCTTATTATTTATGCATTGTCAGAAGTAGATTCATACCTTTTTAAAGATCTTAG